GTAAGATCTGAACTAAAACATGACTACAGTACAGTTAAAAGATCTGAGTGTAACTTGGCCTAAAAGTATCATCTGCTTGTCTGTATGGAAATATATATGTATATGTTTAATGCCATACAGTGGAACATTCCAAGCAAAGCAATGACATCTCTCAGGTGATGGACCCTCCACCAGAAAAGTTACATTTCGAACTTGCTTAATACTGATTCCAATACCAAGATGATACCACATTTCCAAACACTCATTTACAAGTTCTACACTGAATCAGATTATTACTTCAAATCTTCTGCATAATAAACTCAACTTTACAACATATAAACCATAACCACTACAGAGCCACATCAGCCCGTTTGACATTATCATGTGATATGCATATAATGCAGCTTTGACACACTTGTTTACATTTTACAGAAACAAAACTTAAAACCACATGACTCATTTACATAAACTATAAGCAATAAAAAAAGCTCCTTGTGCACTGATGTGGTTCAACTTCTGTCAGACTAAAAGACACGACTCAGTAGAATATGAGTGTTCTCTCTGTGACAGAGGGATGTTGATGCTGATGCTGATGATAGTGAGTCTGTTCTGTGAGTCTGTTGTGTTGGAGATGGTTCATGTTAAACTTTTCATAGATCACACATGTGCAGGTTGAGCACAGCTCTTTATTTAACAGCAGTCATTTCACTCATGTACAGTCACTTTATTTACGTCTGCTCCATTGTGATGAAAAAACTGAAAGGTTTAAATAATTCTCATTAGCCTCAGCAGTGCAGTAGTGGAGGGTGGTGCACTTGTTGTAGTCTGTGATAAGGAGAAGAAAGGACAAGGAAGGAGGTATTTTTGCGAGGGGGTGGGGCATTTCGACAGCAGAACATCTTTTGAAGTATGAAATGTCAGAGTCCAAACAAACTTTGTTCTTGTTCTTATCACCTCAAGAACAAGAACAAAGTTCTTATGTTCTTATGAAGTATGAATAGGTCTTTCTGACACAGCTCAAGATCATTCCAAAACTATTTGGGAAAGCTTCATTTCTGTCCTGTTAAAGGAGACTTTTTTAAGTATCAATATTTGCTCTAATGAAGAAATAGTTTCATTACTAGTTTTAGCATTGATTAGTATCAGATTTGTGATACTTTGAATAACCATAGTTGGGATTCATACAGATACAATATTTTAGCCTTTATTTTGTGTGAAAAGTAGAGTGTCTTTATTGTAATAGTGAAGCTGTTTTGTCCTTGGCGTCTCAGATATAACATTAAAGAGTGAAATGTTCCAGCAGCAGACTCCACACCAGCTGCTCTTACAAACACGTATCTGAGCTTTCAACGTAAACACGAGAGAAACAATGGCACTTTTAATGACATTCAAACTCAACAGAAAAGTCAATGAACGAATGAATTCCCTCATTGTTTAAACCAAATGTTTAAGTAGAATTATAACAGAAAGCTCCATTGTTTCAAATCTTCAACTCAAGTTCTTTGTAAATGTATTTAAAGGTGCAACTTTTTGGGGGTCCATCACCTGCTTGTTTCTATGGAGATGTCATTGCTCTGCCTACAATGTTCCACAGTGTGACATTAAACTGCTCTATTTTACATTTATTCAATTATAGATGATTTTATATTTCAAAATATTTTTATAAAAGAAACATTCTGACTGTGAACTGTGCCTCTCCACAGATCTGACCTGTAACTTGGTCTGGTCTGGTCTCCATGATGATAGAAAAGTTTAATGCCATACTGTGAAACATTCCAGAAAAAGTAATAACAAAGACAAACATGCATACTGTAAGCGGGCTTGCCTCTCCACAAACCAGACCTTTTTGGCTTGGGGGAAGGTCTCTTGCTGCTTGTTTCCATGGAAATGATGTTCCTTTGGCTATAATATTCAACAATATGGCATAAAACCAAGATATTTGCATGGGGAATGCTGAAGTATGGTTTTAACTTTCTGTTTCCATGGAATTGTGCAGGTGACATGTCACATCCTGAAAGTGACATACTGTTCCTTTAATAATCAATACATCAACACTACACGGGAATATGATCATTTATAAATGAATCATTAACCACAATTGATACTTCACAACAGACTGATGGCATCAACATCCTCTGGTGTGTGATTCTACTTGTAAGCACTGCTCTGTTTGAGGCTTTAGACTTTAATTTGAACTCTATTTTAATCAGGATTCCCACTCTTTTTCATTGACAACGTTTCAAATCTTTTCCATGATTTTTTCATGAGCTAAAGTGAATTTTCCATGACCTTATGGCACCTACATGTGTAGAATTGATCAGACTTTTAGGGCTAAATATGAAATGTGAACTCTTTCCACTCACCTTATTATAGTCTTTAACATTCAAAATCCTGTCAGTGCAATTATTGTCGTCTCTTTTAAGCAAAAGGTGCAGATGTTCACAAATAATCAAAATAGTCTCATGAGAACTTAACAGAACACTGGAGTTGTGTAAGAGATACTAAAATTCCATGACTTTTCCAAAACTTTCATCGAATTTACAAAAATCCATGACTTTTCCAGGATTTCCATGACTGTGGGAACCCTGTTTAACACAATCTGACCAGAATCTGACTAGAACTGACTTAGTTGGAACTACAACAAGTCACAAGCTAGAATTAACCAACAGTTTTTCAGCGAGTCACTGTCACCTTTAAGTTGAAAATCAAACTAATAAACAGGAACATGAACATGAACACTCGCACTGATCACACGCTCCTGAAAATCTACTGTTTAATCCTTTTTTTTCTTGAGTCTTAAATCTTTTTGTCTGTGTTTTCTAGCATGTGTAATGTGCCTCCACGGTAACTACGGAACATTTCACCATAGACATACACGTAGAACACCCCCAGCTTGATGTCACTGCAAAGCATCTATAGTAAAAAGGACTAAAACTGGCCCACTCCTCAGGGCCAGCTAATATTTGTTGCTATTTAGTTTGTATCCAAGTGCCCGCTGCGTAATCTTGCATGTCTTAAAACTTTAAACCGAAAAGGACGGGGAACGCCAGCCGAAAATGCCACCCACACGAAGCGTCCAAGCGAATTTCAAAGCGGGCAACATTCACAGAGCGCCACCCATCAGCACCAATCAGGCAGGGCAGATCTGGGACCGCAGCCTGGCTTTATTACATGAGGGAGCTAGCAGTTAGCAACACGACACTGCCCAATGTGTAGCGGCTCCACATGCTTCTCATAGAGGCATTTCATTTACAGACCCGCTCGAATCATAGCTGCTCTTTTGATCACCGCATAAGATCATACGGAGCGGACTCGGTTTACATATAAAAAAATAACTTTATTAGTCAACGAGAATCAAAATCAGGGAGTTGGCAAAGAAAAAGACGCGCTGAAAGAATTCTGGCCATAAACGTATGACTTAAATGGTAAACAGATCATTCGAGCAGCATGTGGAGGACTCAGGAGATTTAAAAAGGACCTTTAAAGATGCATTGTGCAACTTTTCTGGTGGAGGGTCCATCACCTGCTTGGAATGTTCCACAGTGTGACATTAAACAGCTCAACTTTACATTTATTCAATTACAGATGGTTTTAGAGCTCAAAAATGTCTCGAAAAACAGACATTCAGACTGTGAGAGGGGTCGCCTCTCCACAGATCTGACCTGTAACTTGGTCTGGTTTGGGCTCCATGTTTTAGATAGAAAGGATTAATGCCATACTGTGAAACATTCCAGACAAAAGAATAACAAAACCATTTGACACAAAGCAACTTGAAATAAGAAATCTACTAGAAATTATGGAACAAATGTCAAAACAAAACAAAATCACTATAGTAATTTAAATATATACTGTATTTCATATTCCTCCTATCTGGGTAAAGTAGTCCCTCTGTGACTAAGTCTAAAGCAGACATGTCAAACTCAGGCCCGGGGGCCAAATTTGGTCCACAATTCAATTATATTTGGCCCATGAGATCATATCATGTATTTATTAGAGCTGAGTTTTGAGGTGAGTTTTGTTTCTGCAGATACACTTCTAATGTTCATGTGATTCTGTTCTGGTTCATTATTGTAGTAATAAGTACTTTAAATGTATTTAAACATGTACAACAGAGTAGATCATCAGAATGTGATCATCATGTGTTATTCTGTGTCCACAGGCAGAGACCAGAGCTTCTTCACTGGAATAAATCTTCACACTGTCCAGCTCCAAACTGTGTGTCTCTGTACTTGTGTGTCTCTGTGTGTTTGATTCTGTTTAAGACAAAGCAGAACTGTGGAAAACTAAAGACTGTTTTTGTTTTCTTTTACAGAATTAGATCAATTAAATGAAATTATACATACTTATACATTTCATGATAAGATAAATCTGCATATTCAGCATGATTTGATCAAATTTCATCAACATAAAAAAGTGACGTTCATGTTCTGAGAAAAATATGTGTAGAGAGGATCGAAATAAGTTTCAAAGCCTAAACATCATTTTATTGCATGCAACAGCTTTCCAGAACTTTTTTACGCAAATCCAGCAACCTTTTTTTTTCAATGCAGTATGATATATTGAATATTTTGTGGATAATGTGAAATGATTTGAACATCTGTGTTACTTGCATACTACTACTTACTCTTACTTACTTTATTTCTTGGTCCACTACTTGCATAATAGTGTATTTTTGTAATAGTCCTTTTAATTGAGTACATTTCTGGTGACTCTACCCACCTCTACACCTGAGACACTGCTCCACCGTTTTAACTGATCAAAATCCTACAAAACTGACAATGACTTTTTTTTTAAATTTTAAGTAAGATTTTTTTTATGAACTTCTAAAGGATCTAGTTACTTCTACCTCACACTGTCTCTGGAGCCATTAACAACTCAACTGGGGTTAAAATCCGGCTTTGCTTTAAACGAATGTCTGGTCTCCCTGTAGCTCCTTTGTACAATATTAAGGTGACAAAAAAAATCTCTCTTTCTTCTGTCACTGATACTTGATTCTTTGATAGTTTGAGCGCAGAACTCACCTCCTCGGAATAGTGATCTGAAGGGAGCGGGGGGTAGTCGCACTGTTCTATCTTCTTGCAGAGGGAGTACAGATTCATTTTATCTCCGTAGAAGGGGCTCTGTAGGGCGGCCATCTGAAATACAAGAGGACACAGGAACGGTCAGGACAAAACACCAGGACGCAGGCTCAAGACCACAAGGTAGAATTTAACTACAGACCACACACTGCACCGAGCTGGAGGAGTCTGAAATGTAAAGTTTGAAAAGAGCCGGAGGAAGAAAAATTTCACAAGTCGATCGTTAAAATGTTGTTTCCTCATCACCAACAGATCTGGAGTTGTGTTTTGTTTCACTCGCACTTGTTAAACACACAAACCCTGTAGAGTTCTTCTCTCAAATGGAAAACACTGTTCCACCTTGTGATGTCATGTGGTAATACAAGTTCTCCGCTGTGTTTTTAAACTCCATACACCTTCATTAGAACTGTTTGGATGATTTCAGACCCGGAATTGCCACTCTAATCTCTACTAATGTCTGTAAATTTGAAATCTACAGCTTTCTGACATCACAAGGTGGAACAGAGCATTTGGAGCTTTGGAGATGTAGACTAATAATAAAGGTTCAATAAAAGATGTGTGAATGAAACAAAACGCAATTTGAGGTATGGTTTTGATGAGGTAAAAATATTATAATGTAACTTGAAGCTCACAAGAGTCAATTTTGCGTAATATGGAACCTTTAAATATATTAATGGAAACTGGATGAAGAGAGACATCTTCCATAGCAACACATTTATGAATAAGTTAGTAGGTAGTGTTCACGTTGTACAATTTGATAAAAGTTCGTAATTTGCTTTTGAAAGGAAATGTCCAAAATGAAAATGTCCACAAATGTTGAACCTGAGTCTGTGATTCTACAGGCATCTCATGTTCTAAAGCAGGGGTTCTTAATAACCTTTTCAATCTTGGGGCCCGACTTTTTCTGAACAAAGTAACCTGGGGCCCTATCTCATATTAAATGCATTATATTGTACTGATTGTGGGGCCCCCAAGGAAGTGGTCCCGGTCTTACTTTGGGTCACGGCCCTACGGTCAAGAATCACTGCTCTAAAGTCTTTCCTGACGACAATCACACTTTTGGGGTTGAATAATGGCACCAATTTCTGAAGCTATTGTGAAAAAAAATAAATATATATATATATATATATATATAATATATATATATATATATATATATATATATATATAAACAAAGAAGATATAAAACTTAGTGCCAGTATTTGTTTCATGTGATAGGCCTGGTCAATGAGCTGCAATAAATAAATAGAAGTTATAATCTATAACAGGGGTGGGCAAACTATGGCCGTGGGTCCAAATGCAGCCCTTTAATCTTTTTAATCTGGCCCGCTGAACTTTAATAATAATAATAATTTTCAGTGTTTTAGAAGTCATTTCAATAAATAGTAAACACCGTGGGACTTAAAAGACAGATATTTTGTTGTAATGATTTTCAATGATGGGATGTTTCAGTAACGTGGGATATGTTTTCTATCATATCTCATGTTATTTTTTTTGCTCTTATGAGGTGGATTACCAAAAAACTCCATCCATCTGCTCCTGGTCCTGCCCTTCAGTCAAATTTTAGAACCCTTTGTGGCCCACGAGTCAAAACATTTGCCTGTCCGTGGTCTATAATGAATCATAGACACAGACTGTATAAAGAAGTGGACTAAGGGAGTGTGACGTCGCCCACAGCCTTTGTCTCCAGTCAAATGAAGCTCATAAAGGAGCAAGTTCATTAAGAATAGTATTAATTTAGAGATAAAATAGTGAACTAAAAACAGCAGGATCATGTAGAGCAGGTGTGTCAAACTCATTTTGGTCCGAGGGCCGTATCCAACCGACTTTGATCCCAAAAGACCCGGATCATAAAACTCATGTCATATAAACCCCAAAAATAACACTAAGTTCAAATATTTGTGCAGAGAAACACAAATCTATTACAGAAATCTTTTTTAATTGATGAACTCTTTCTTTTACAAAATATTATAATATTATGAACAACCTGAAACTTTAAGAAAAATACAATTTCAACACAAAGTTTCAACATGAACTTGTATGTAAATAGGAATAAGTCAATTTTTGTTGTAAAATCCTGCACTCGGCTCCACTTTTCTCATGTTGGACATTTTTCTGATGAGGGTGTCACGGTCAACAGTCAAAACGATCGTCCTTTAAGAGCGTTTGGAAAGAGACAAGTCTTCATTTGTGCTGCTCTGGTGGGAGGGGCCACGTACAGAGACACTGGAGACGCTGCTGTGATAAACACCACAGAAAATTAACAAGATTTTAATAGAAAATATAATTCAAATATTTTAGTAGAAAATCAGCCGAGGGCCAGATTAAAGGTATTGGAGGGCAGGATCTGGCCCCCGGGCCGTATGTTTGACACCCCTGATATAGAGTGAGTTAATACAAACATTTTAAGAGCAAATGACGAGGCTCCCTGTGGCATTTACAGAGAGAGGAGAGACAATTTTCAATGTAGTGAATTGAAGCCAGAGTCGATGGAGCTGGAAGTGCTCCCACTCACACTTCCTATTTGGACGGGTTAGGATTATATACAGTCACTGGTCATAAATGTTATTAAAAAAATAAAATAAAATAAAATAAAATAAATGTAAATGTCTTGCACAAGAACACAACAAAAGTACAGGATTTCTCGAGCCGTTTTCCAAACACAAACTTTTCATTAACCACAAGTAGACAGAACCATTCCCAAACTATTCCTAGAACTATTGTTGATGGAGGCAAAAACACTAAAGTTCTTCTCTTCCATACACCACAATATGATGCTTAGGGATGCATTAAAACCAACTCTTAACACACATCCTAAAGCGTAAAAATCCATGTTTTTGTTCATTTTTGCCCCAAATTAACGAGAACTGGTCCAAAAAATTCCAGTTTGTGAAAAAGTGTGAAACAAATGGTTGAATTATGTATTGTTTTTGTCTGTTTTGCTCCAGTGAACAGGGGTAAGCTTGAGTGGAGCCTGAGTGGAGAGAGGAGCAGCCCAAACAAGCAGTGTGCATTTTTCAGTTCGCTGGAGCAGGGAGGAAATGCTTCTATGCACTGAAACAAAACACAAGAAACCACAGGCTGAGTCCAGACGCTGTTCAACGCAGAGAGGGACCACAACGGCTCATACTCGAATCATGTTTAAGGTGCCAAAAGTATCGAAAATCAGAAAGGAAAAGCAGTATCAAAACTAGGTATCGATACTAAAAAATCACATTCGCAGACCTTTACTGAATCACTTTAAAATAATGTTGAGTTGTATCAGAACAAGTGTAAGAGCACATAGACTAGTGTACACTCATATAACCAGTGTTGGGAAGGTGACTTTTAAAATGTAATCCCCTACAGATTACAGATTACATCCCCCAAAATGTAGTTTGTAACGTAATCCATTAAATTACTTAAAGTGAGTAATGTAATCTGAATACTTTGGATTACTTGATTTGCTGTAGAGAAACAAAGATGAGGAAATCGTAACATAAGATGTTTTGTCTGATAAAAGAAAATAAAAAGCCCAGACTTTACTTAAACAAATTAAAAATATTATTGATAGAAGACGAGGAGACACGTCCACACAAGTTGGTTTAGACCTGGTTTAGTCCTGGTTTAGATCTGGTTTCAGTCCTGCTTTAGTCCTCGTTTAGTCCTGGTTTAGATCTGGTTTCAGTCCTGCTTTAGTCCTGGTTTAGACCTGGTTTAGTCCTGGTTTAGATCTGGTTTAGTCCTGCTTTAGTCCTTCTTTAGTCCTGGTTTAGTCCTGCTTTAGTCCTGGTTTAGTCCTGCTTTAGTCCTGGTTTAGTCCTGCTTTAGTCCTGGTTTAGTCCTGGTTTAGTCCTGGTTTAGATCTGGTTTTAGTCCTGCTGTAGTCCTGCTTTAGTCCTGCTTTAGTCCTGCTTTAGTCCTGCTTTAGTCCTGCTTTAGTCCTGGTTTAGTCCTGGTTTAGTCCTGGTTTAGATCTGGTTTTAGTCCTGGTTTAGACCTGGTTTAGTCCTGCTTTAGTCCTGGTTTAGATCTGGTTTTTGTCCTGGTTTAGTCCTGGTTTAGATCTGGTTTTAGTCCTGGTTTAGATCTAGTTTAGTCCTGGTTTAGACCTGGTTTAGACCTGGTTTAGTATCCGGCAATGAGTGGAATTACCTAGAAAAAAAAGAAAAAAAAAAGAAAAAAGGGATATAGCCCGAAATGTGAAAACAGGAAAATACCTCTGTGTAATCCATTTATTTCAACAAAGTAACTGTAATCCAATTACCACTCACTGAAACAGTAACTGTATCTGAATACAGTTACTCATAATTTGTACTCTGATTACATAACTCCGGTACATGTAATCTGTTACTCCCCAACACTGACTATAACACACATGGACACTATCAAGCTACTGGAGCACTGAGGATTACACACACATAAGGACCCACTTTTATTCTCTGGCTTTTAACACCGCAGGAATTGTGTGGTCCTCTGTGTCTTTTATGTATTTTATTTATTTTTAATGTATTTTATTTGGTTTATTTATTTATTGCTATTCTATGAATTTGCTTTTATTTAATTTTACAGTTTTTATTATTTACATTTTTTATTATTTTAAGACTAGTATGATTATTTTAGTAGTTTATTTTTTCATTTTATTGTTGTTGTTATTATTATGGATTTGTGCAGCACTTTGGAAACTGTTTGTCAAATGTGCTATAGAAATAAAGTGGATTGGATATAAGACACATGGGAATAGAAAAAGAAAGTACAGTATTGTTCGGACTATAAGCTGCACTTAAAATCCTTTCATTTTCTCAAAAATCGACAGTGCCCCTTATAATCCAGTGCTCCTTTTGTATTAATTCCTGACCTCGAACTGATTTTTTGTGGTACACAGCGCTCAAAAATCTGTCAAAATGTTTTAATACGACTTTGGTAAACTACAAAGCCGCACCACTTGATGGCTGCTCGGAGCATTACCGCTACTGTAGTCAGGAGCCTCACAGAGTGAAGCCCAATTTACAGTCTTTAGTCTGACAGAAGCTGAACCGCATCAGTGCACAAGGCAGTTCTTTTCAGCGCTTATAGTT